CATTTTATTGGGGATTATCATGATCCATTAGGGGAATCCGTAGCCAATCAGTATGATAGAATGGCAGAGGCCTTTGAACGCTGCTTATCTAAATGTCGACTATTTAATCTCAGTTGGCATGGCCTGAAATAGGTTTTTTTCTTGTTGGATTTTGTCGACCACCTCAAGCAAATTCAAGATGTGTATAGAGGATAGCCATATCGATGGAGACATGCTTTTCGTTGATATCGGTTTCGGTCAATACCTATTGGAGCATTGGATTTCCGGGATGAAAAACCAGCCACCCCAGCTATTTTGGTGTTCACCAAATAGCTGGGCCGGTTTCATTGTTTCTGGAAAGCAAATATCACAAAGTCTGGTACACAATCCAAGCAACCTATCAGTGCCGCCTGCCAAAAGAAATTGATTTGTTCAGTCAAGTTTTGGTAACTATCATTTTATTTCCCTATCATAGCCCTATTTTTTGCTGGTTTGCTGTAATCCCCATGTTTTTCCATGTAGCTAGCAGCAATCTGGATGCAGTGACGATAGCGCCACCAGCCAAAGGAGTTTGCAGGGTCACCATATGAGCAATGCCAAAAACCAATTGGAATATCTCAAGAATACTTGTTGGTTTTCGTGCGGATTGCCAGCTCATGGCTTAGGATAATGCCCGATCTATGAAACGTAGTGCACGTATATTATGTAACCCTCTTGAATTGTCGGAGAATATCCACACGTTTGATGGTTAAAAGTCTTATAAAAGTCTTATTTGATGGTTAAAAATCTTAAGTGGAATCCGCATCAAAAAAAACATCAGATATCATCAGATCATCTCCTGGACCTCGATGAATTTCCGCATGCACCCCAGCTGTTCGGGGATGCATTTTTGTTCGTTGCTCGATGAGCAAATATGTTAGCCAGAAACAGAAGGTTTTCAAAGTATCAACCAGTAAAGATCAATAGATTTGTGAGGGGTATCCAAGGTCAGTCATGATATATTTTGAAGAATTTGTTTGCCTGAAAATTGGGTACTCCACTGGACGTGTAGCCCAAAAATCCCAAAAATCCCAGACTCCCATGGGGTATCATCATGTTCCGTGTTGTTCAATGGTCATCCACTGGAGGGCCATACCCAAACGTGGCACACAAACCCATGAGCAATCATCATCATCATCATCATCATCATCATCATCATCATCACCAAACCTTCATAATTAGGTGATGTCCGTTAAAACCCCAAACAAAATGTAACCACCCAACAAGCATCCTCCTGCACAATTCGTATACTGGAATTGGCTCTCTTTCCCATGGGTCGGCCGACCTGAGAGTTGGGTAGTTACAACTTAATCCAACTTGCCACCTTCATGATAAGATGCTATCCGAACAGCAGCTATGTTGTAAACATTGTGTGCAGCGTATCTGGGACTGGCAAGGATGTGGGTTTATATGCGGAATACGCCAGAATGGGCGTGCAACATGAAGATCAATCAGATGTCGGATTCCAGATTTGAGACAACTCCATGTACTTGTCCTCGGGCACCGAAATAATTGGGCACCGTCCCCCCAAGAATGGATGGTTAGCCTTAAATGTTGAGCCAATGTCTTAGTTTTGAACGTTGGGGGGGTCATCGATCATCACCATTGGCTGAAACAAAACATCATGTACTTGACAATTCTATGCAGCCATCGAGTGTTGAACACCCCATCCTTGCTGCTTGAGAATTGTACATACACAAGAAGGGTCCTTCCCAGTTATAGGTCGGTTTGAAAGCCCATGTAGCCCCATGAATTATAGACATTCACTAAAGTTCCTGGTTGGCCTAGTTGTAAACCAACCCATCTTTTGCGGTACCTGATACCACATGATACTGGTACTATATGTTTCATACTATGTGATCAGTATTACTATGTGATCAGTATCATTCAGCATTATATAAGTCAGGACCATAGATACTGTAGCAATCCCCGAAAAGATCGAAAGGTAATTTACCACTTGTTTACACGGATTTTACTTTTGAAATTTCGTTTGAAGGCGCCAAAAGCAGCCAAACGATAGATTCCTTAGACTTAGACCCCCAGATTGGCCAGTGCCGGAGGGGTTTCCTGGTTTCCTGCATCCGGACTTTTGCCAAGGAGGTCGCTACGCAGATCTTTCAGTTCCTGCAGTCCATCAAGCCATGGTACCTGCCGCATTGATTGCTGGAAAATGGTGCTGTCTGGGTCTTTGACGTCCGCTCGCATGGTTTTGGAAGGGATGGCGACCACACAAGTCCCTCAAATGAACCGTTCACATCCGAAGAATTAAATCAATTAATAACTAAAACGCAATTTGGCGTCCGAACTATTGCAACAAAGTCCGGCGAAATCACCGTCACATGCATTGGGATCAAACCCCTTGTTACTCACGGAAGGTTGGCATGCATGGACCCATGCAGTTTGAGCGCCAGCATATTGCTGCGATCCACCGTTGAGAAGTGGACAAAACAGAATTCACACAGACCAGAGTTCACATTCATAGATTCGCCAGATTGCGGATTTTGGATTGTTTCCTGCATTGAACGCAGTCTGCAATGTTGAACGATGAAAGCATTTCTTGCTCCAGCTGTCCTTGCGGTCCCCAGCTGTCCTTGGAACATCCTTTAGAACCAGAGGCCAGCGGTTGGGTCTGAGGCAAACCACATGGAATTTTAGGGTGCCATCCAAAAAGATGCCGATTTCGTTGCACAAAAATAGATGGTTCCAGAAGGTCCGGCACAAGACTATCTGTAAAACTGTTTGCTTTCCAAATCGATCGTCAGGAAGTTGAAACTGGTCACTGCACACCTGGTTGTCGAGAATTTCAATATGTGTTTTGGTCTGTATTTGGACAGGATGGCTGACTTTCCTGACTTTCCCATCACCGTGCTGGTGGCGACGACGTGCGCCAGCAAAGCTGGTTCTGCTGTCCGTGGGCCCTTTTGGGAACCATCTTCTTGGGGGTTGTTTTGGCTCCAAAATGGTCCCTAGCCGGAAAACCCTGAATTGCATCCAGACTCCAAACCACCTTTGTGGGGCTAGCAGGGATGAGGGTTTGGCCAAGGACTAAAATGGTTTGGGGAGACAATCAGACAAGCATAAAATGACAATCCGGAGCGTGGGCCAGGAAATCAGGCGGCATCGCCTATCAGGGCGAGCTGCCTTGGCCGATTGACAAGGTCAGGGGCCAATCTTCTGGGTTGCAGCTTGGGAGTATTCTTTGGACCGGCATGTA